AAAAAACCAAGAAACGTAGACTCTTGGTATTCATTACACATAAACTAGCGAGCCCCAGAATGAGAAACAAATTTTAATCATTATTATTGACGGATTAGTAAACTTTTTACACGCTTTGGAAAATCTCAGAAGTTCGCGGTAGTCACTTTTCGGTAAGGAACTAGGGGACTCGGTTATTGTATCGAGGGGGGGGTCGAAACGATCGCAAAGGCGGTATACTACGTATACGCGCCAAAAAATCCTGCCTTTTTATGGTGTAGTCTGGTGGAAATTCTTTTTCATTTTTAAAAATAGAAGATAGGCCAAACATCTTTATGAATAGGTCTTTATGAAAAAAATCGACCCAAGAAAGAAAAATGTTACCATAGGTTCCAATGGATCTTGCGCTTTTGTTGCCGTAATGTACTTCTATTGCTTAGATTTATCCCTGTTCCATTACTATGGAATATAGAGATTTGGTATTTGGACATTTCTGCTTAATTTTTGTTAATTATATGCTTTCACCATCAATACCTAATTCGGTAACCAACGTAATTAACCCATTAAATGTTTCACTGATTTTAATCGAGAATATTAAATTGATGTCCACAGAATGGTGCCAAAAACGATCCCTCATGTCATCAAAAGAGGATGGGCCATGGATCTCAACGGTACTGTCAACAATGTATTGCCTTGTGCTTAGACTGGCGGTCTAAAGTGCATTAATGGTAAGTTTGACTTTTCTTGATGCACTCAAAAGAATGATTAAAGTAATTTACGCTATAATTTGTAAGAAGCATATTGGAGTGGTCTTGACTTGAAACTTTGTTGAAAGTTCCTTATGTGCATTGAAATCTTTATGCTTAAGACAATTTCAAGAAAATTCTAATTCAAGGAGCTCCTACACCATTATGCGTAGCATTCAAGAATACTCAAAATCAACTTTTTATGTTTAGTCGGCGCAATTTTCCCTGAAATATCCTTTCTTGGCATGACTTGTGACTGAACAGTCCTTCTGAACTTAAGCATAAAAATTAGAAAACGTAAAATTTCGACCTACTTCTCTCATTTTTTTATAACTGAAAGATAAAAGATTTCAATTTTTTGAAGTAAAGCAAGCACTATCGTTGATGAAATTGCCTTTACTTCGGCGCTAACTCAAAAATTATTGCAAGTCTAATTGGATGTGTGATTACCGATTATCAACAGTTATGCACCATAATTCTTATTTTTCTCTCTGTTTTTTTACAGAGTCAGAATCAAAAATATGAGGAATGTAAAAATCTGTTGATTGAATTCGAAGATCACTACTCAAACTGGTGACATGGAATTCAGGAAGCAGCCTCACTTTTTTTTTTAGTTTTTGTTGTAAATTGAATGGTGCTTTTTTTATATATATTTTTATCTGTGTTCAATTTTAGTTTATTTTTTTATGAATAAATATTTTTAAGAAGCACATTATGTTTGCTCTCACATATTTTTCTTGTTACTCGCTCAAATAATATCTATTTGTGATAGTCCACAAGAAAAGATATATCAATGCATGTAGGGAAATCCTGAAGAGCTGCTTTGAAAGGAGACATACAGTAGTCTCTGGGTTATCCAAACACGGTATTATTGGAACTGATTTGGCAAGCACGCGCGGCCGAAACTCGGACCGCGGCGGACTGTGTCGGATGCAATACCTGATAGTGCAAAGGTCAAGTAGTGAAGATTTGGTGTTCCATCGATTATCCGAACTGGCCTGGTCCCAATTAGTTCTGATAACCCGGAGACTACTGTACCTCCATTAGATTTTGACTGATAACATAGGTTAGATAGGGATACTCAGAGGATGAGAAAAGAATTGGGCGATGCACTTGCAGGGCAGAAACAAGAGACACAGCAAAAACCACTTAGGCTCCATTGAAGCTGAGAGGTAATTAGGGGTTTTTAAATCTTTCATAGACGTACTTTTATGAGTAAAGCAGTACTTAAGATGGAGCATGACTTGAAACCTGAGTCATAATTGGACTTATTTCTATCAAACGGAAGTATGTGCATTATGACGTGAACCCTGTTATGCATATATTCTGATGGGTCTCAGGGCTCATGTCCTAATGCTTATAGTTCCGTTTGGCAGAAATACGTCCGATTTGTTTGTTGCCATCAGAATTATCAGTTTCCGTTTTATGCGTTCAGAGAGTGATATTTTGTACTTCTGCCACTTCTGCAATTCATCACCTCTAACCATCAAACACATACTTATGGACTGCTCTTCCCTCCGACATCTCCAATCACAGATCTACTCCCCTACAATCAACAGAAATACAAACCCTCTTACATGCGATGAACCTAATATTGCCACCAAAATTCTGAAACTCTTCACCTCTCTTAATTTAAAAATCTAAATTTCCGTTTATACTCCTATATATTTTCAAAATTACCTGTAAAGACGTTAATAGCCTGAGTCGCTGAATGTCTCAAAATTATAGTAACTAACTAGTAACTATTTGACTGATGGCTATCAGAAAGAGGTTTGGGGTATCTCTCATGCGGCTACTAGACGATACTATGCAGGACTGTACAATCGAAATTTTTTTGGTCATGTGATAATCATCAGATTCGTTGTCATTGAGAGCTTGGTGGCAAAGGGATGACCTCTAGGAGCGCTTCCGTCGGCTCATGCCCAAAGAAGCGATCCTGTTGGGCATCATATGGAAACTTGTGCAGTACTCTCCTAAAGGCTAATTTTTCAAACTACTTAAGAAGCGTGGTCATCAGCCTGACATCTTAGATCATCTCCGTATTGATCCTGATGACACCATTGTACCTACAAAATACTGCTACGTCTGTTCATGTGCAAACTGCAAGAAAATACCTGCTTCAAGTTAAGTCATGTCTTTTTGCTGTTAAGCCACGTGTTCATGGCCAAGCTTGAGCATCAAATACCGCCAAAATCAGCTTTCTGATTCTTAGCTTGAAATATGATCCATAATTTAAATAGATTCGTTTTTTCTTGAATCTCCTAACACATAAACAACATTTGCGTAAATGCATGCACATGCAATCTCTCATCATACATTTCTGAAGGTGTGAAGGTAATAATAAGACGATCAATTAAAGAAAATTAGCTACATTTATTACGCCGCATTTTCGAAGCGCAAAAACAGTCTCCTTATCAAGATTTACAAAAACTTATCGAGTTTTGCTAAAATAAAAAGGATATTTACACAATGCTACTGAAATCAATATACACAAGCATTTATAGGAATTTCAACGCAGAATTCAATTCTTCGTTTCGAGAAAAAGAATTATTATACAGGGTGGAAAAAACGTATGGTTTTTTGCCAAAATACAAAGAGACGTGTAAAGAAACTTAAAACTAGTTAAAACAAAAGGAAAATAAAGAAAAAAATCAATGATAAAGCTTAACAATTATGTTTTTTATAACAATGAAGATGGGGCAGAGAATGCAAAATGAAAAAAATGTGAACACAATATACCAGTGATACACGAAATTGCCTTCATCAAAATTCAAATTTCTAAACTGATTCAAAAATAGACCAGTACGATTGATAATTTTATCGAAGACTGAATTCTTTGAATCAGGCACTTGGAAAATCAATGTTCTCAGACTGTCCCTGCTAACATACCTTAGGTCAGAGAGAACTATATAAAATTTTAGTGAAATGGAACAAATGATCCTTTGATCTAGCAAACTTCCTAAATTTGTCATTTATATTCTGATATTCTGATTTGGCAGCATAAAGCATGTGGAATCAATCAGTGAACATAATTGCAACGAAAAAAATTTTGCCACAAGAAGCTTATAAGCAGTTATGAGCTGTTGCCAAGAAAACAATGAATCAATAATGCAGGGTGCATTGATTTTATCGATGATGAAACTGCAGAAATGCAAATCTTGGTTTGCAACATTGCAGATTTTTTGTTGTACTTGACGTTCTGCACAGAAAACTACTCGACGTCACTTTTTGAGAACGTATTCTCCTCTATTAAAAGAATATTCTACATAAGTTTAGCCCATAAGGTTGGTTTAGTCTCCTATTAAAAAAATAAATAGTAGTGGGGATTTTGAAACACTGCAACAAAGATACACATTTTTGCAGTTTCACCATCATTCTCCACTTGAAGACTACCATTAATGACAAAGATTTCTTTGTTTCCATCAAAAAATTTAATCAGCCATAAATATACATCTAGAATATCATTGGACTTAAAAGTTCTTCACCGAAGAGACATAATTCATTTGAAAAGAATAGAGCTGAGAAACTGAAGTGTTTCATCAGAATATTTCTGACTAAAAGTTCTCCTTTAAAGAAAAAATTCTGCTGAAAAGAATTATAGCAGCTAAGTTATCGGATTTGCTTTTGGCAAGAACAGCCAACATCCTCAAATAAAAATGCAACACTTTAGTTGATATTGACAACTAAATTCCCAGAAAATTAAAATTAAAATGACAGAAGGTGAACAAAAATAATCACAACTTAAACAATCAAAATTTTTAAAACTATGAAATCACAAGCATGTACGTTTCAATATTCAAGTCAAAACCTACTGACAAACGGAACTTAGAACAGAAAGAATCTATCAACCTACTTGGGATCCAAAGTAAGGGATATATTCTCGATTCTTCAAATCGTTCATCTGATGTCCAAAAAAAAACAGATAATTAGCACAAAATGATCAATTAAAAAGAAAGAAAATGAAGAAAAAAGGTCGACATGAAAGAACATAATTTGAAACGTCTACAACATAAACAAAAATTTAGGTGGTGCTGTATCACGAAGTTTATTTTGAATTTAACCTTAGCGACTAAACTTCCTACTTAAAAATGCGAAATCTAAATGGAGAGCAGACTGGTCAGATAATGTTAATGCAGACTTAAAACTGCAAACCTCATTTTCTTTTCACTGACACATTGCAGCATTTAGCAAATAATACTTCTGAGCCGGAGACTTCAATTGACACGCTTGCATGTGTGACAAATTTGTGTTTTGATGGTTGCAGATTACATGTGCAGTGGCAAAAATAATGTAAGATCTGTCCAAATGCTATTTTTTAAGTCCGATTTCTTTCAAGTTTTAAACAATACAAAGCACTTTGAAATGATGAATAATGTCTCTAAACACAGTGCTACATTCCATGATTTGTCCACTATGGTAAATTAGTCTTGTTTATACGGCAACCAGTGCAAATGCAAAACTGAATTCAAGGTGGAAAAGATGATGGATTGTAGCTCCTTGGTGGATAATGTGAAAGACAGTTTTCTCAAGGGGCAATATATCTTATTTCATATTAGGCCTAAAAATTATTGTTGGACAAATCTTACTAGGTATACTTAATCCACAACTTTGAATATCAAAACATGATTCTGCATTACACGCAATTAGCAGACAGAATCAATTTTTTCTGGAGAGGTGAAAATCCATTGATACGAATAGTGGTTGTAAACTATTTTAGAGTTGACCGCAACATTTTATAAAATTACCAGTGACAAAAAGAATAAATCCACCCACATATTCAGTGGTACTATGGTAAAATTTCATTAAGACAATTGTCCAGGGACCGACAAAAACTTTGACTCAGGCGGCAATTTAAGCTAACCTTTTATTTCATTCCAACACAAAATCAGAATTTATTGAGATTGTAAAGATTTTGAATTAAAAGGCAACTCCACTGCTTTGCAAAATTTTTCCCACCAGGTTTTGAAAAACGATGTACATGTCCGACACAACAGCAGTGTTATGTTTCCGTTGGAAAACACAAGTAAAAATGTAAAAAAAATTCACTTTGCATCCTTGCTTTTCTCACAACTGGCGCAAAAAAAGTTTAATTTGAAAAGCTCATCATGCTCAGAAGGTCGTAAAAAACATCGTGTCCATTGATAACAAAATTTATCCGGTGCCAAATCTCTTTTTTTGTCCAGTCCTTTGCCCATGGTGCAAAAGTAATTGAATGGAAAGTCAGCCTAACTACACCACGTAATGCCACATTTTTCATGTTTTATCTTTTTAATGGAAAGATCGGCAACATTCTGCTTTGGAATTTTGTGAGCAGATTCTTTACAATTTGTAGAAAATGCACTGAGAGTTTTGAATATGTTGAGTTGCCTATTAAAAAAATAGAACGCGAGAGAAAATTACATAATCAGAAATTTAGTTATGCTGATTTTGATTACATTCTTCTGTTGTTTTTTTTAAATGAAAAGAAGCGTTTCCAAGAGACTACTTGCCACTGTGTTGTTAAATGCTTGCAACTATGCATTGCTTCAATTCACACACTGTTTTTTCTTAAATTACAATTAGATGGATGTTAGAACTGAAATCTTATTCTTTCTTCAATTAACTCAAAAACACAAGCAAATATTTTAAAAACCTTGCTAATTTGGCTATTTCATCATCTAAAAAAAATTATCACTATTAACACAGAAAGAGGTTCTCAATTTTCCAATTAAAAGGAAAAAAAGATCCGTTCGAGCACTCAAAGGAGTATTGAAATAGATTGACAAGCCCTGGCATGGAAAGAGCAGAAAACTAAACACCAAACCTAAAAAAACTTCAATTGCCTGCATAGTATGAATAGACCCCCAGACACCAAGGCTTACACGAAAAATATACCCTCAGGTTCAGCATAACGTTTGCTGCACTGCTTGGACACCTCCCTAATTGCATTGACATTTTTCAGTTGTACGATTTGACGTGGGGACATATTTGAGAAACATATTAAAACTCACCACGAATAATATAAAAACTGTACAGCTGATTCACTAAAGGAGGCAGTATCATGTAAAATAATTAAAATCCTAAGGCAAAACCTTACTTGCAGAGGCGATACACTAGTAATCTCTGGCATTGGTTATGAAGAATACAACGTTCATTAAGGCAAAGAGTACTGCCTTGCATATATTTATACAATATTAGGATCTGACACTTTTGACGAGTCTTCACAAAAGCGATCAGAAGTAACCTTGGACAAAAGATCCCTTGAAATTTTGTCTCACAGCAAAATGGGGAATCAGAGAGAATTCAGGAAAAACTTCCATAATCAAAATTAATGCATTCTCTAATTTTTATCATAAATGATGTGATGAAGAAGGGACTTGTCAAAAAAAGGCGGATATGCATATAAATGGGGTATTCATCACTTTCACAATTCTTAAAACAGAATTTTGATTTGAGTCAATTAATTTCAAATTTATGTGAGAACCAGTTAGGAGAAACGAGAAGTGAAGAATCACTTGAGCTTTGATGAATCTTCACATTTCGAAAAACATACGACATAGTGAAAACTCTATGAGAATATTCCTACTGAACATGTCTCGCATTTTAATAATGATGATAAAAACTTTCCAGATACTTTTGATGGGAGAGATTGGCAGTACATCAAATAAATAAAAAATAAAAAAAAATGTAATCAAGTTGGCGGCCAGATAGACATACCCTGGGACGAATTGTGTTACGTTATTATTGATAAGTTTTGCTCTGATTTTCTCTTGTCTCTTGTACCGTATTGGTGAATATATGTATGTGGAATGAGTTCACAGTTGGATCAAAAAATCGACTCTATATCTCACAATACTTCTAGTGGAAACAAAACAATCACAAAAAAGAACATGTGATTAACGAATCTTTTAGCATAAATATTCGAGGATGGAAAAACAGAGGGACAATGCACATCATGCAAAAACAAGCTAGCTTTATCTTTTAGAAAACAAGAAAATGAGTCAACCTTGAAAAAAAATAATGGAGTAAAATTATCCACTTTTAAAGTCTTTATAAAAATTCTTCGAGGATTCATATACTTTTACTTCGTTTTTGGTCACAAAAGCTACAAAAAAATAAAGATGACAAATTTTATCATTATTTACTTTTCTCTCCCACTATAATTATAGCTTCCATCGAAAGGACAGTTAATTTCCATGATCCAGATCGAATTAAAAAATCCTATGGCATACAGCTTCAGTGTAGGGAGATGTATAAATCACTATGGTGGAACTGAATAAATCAAAAAAATTAATTTAGATAAATGTGACCATTCACTAAAAATGATATCTCAGTGCTACGAAGCTAGGAAAAAATTGCTGATATTGGGTTATTAGTATAATTGTTGAAGAAAGCTTTTTTTGCAAAAGAAACTGCACAAAAACGTCAAACGTAACCAGAGTCAAGATATTTTGCAGTTTGCAGAATAAAAGAAATGAAAAGCAAAAGATGTGCCTCCTGAAAGTCTCATTTTCCCATGTTGAGGGCTGAAAAAGTGACTTTGTGCCCACTATCAACACAAAAACAAAGTTAACCCTCTGCTACTTATATTTTAGAATAAAAGTAAATGCTTTTTGTAAAAAAGTGGAATTGTGATTTTCCACCAAACTTCAATGAAAATTGCTCTCCTTGAAAACTTGCAACTATGCAATGACCCTATTCCCATGAATGGTCACTAATCTTTGATTTCCTAATGTTATAAATTAGAACGAATAGAGTAGATAAGTGATAACGAAATTACCAACTCCTGATTGAATTATTTAGATCTTGAAGATACAGCATGAAATTTAGCTCATTTGAATAGCTTTTAATTGATTTTAGCTCCAACTTTCCCCTCTGTTTCCTTCTATAACATCTGTAGTTTATTTAATCCTTATTAGTTAGTGTGTCAGATTATAATTTTTCTGCCCAAATTCACAATAGTTGGCGCCACTGAAATTTAACTTCTTAAAAACAAGCATCACTGTAAAAAACTTGCATCTGATTGGTCGGTGCTCACTTCCCTTTGCTCTCATTTTCCCTCGTTTTTAGATATAGTCAAGTCAAGATGGAGTGCCTTTGTGTCGGCTTTCTTCTTGTTTGTTGTTCGCTTTAAATACGGCAATAAATCAGTATAGATACCAAGAACGGCTCTCATTACAGCTCCGCTAATAATCTGCGAAAGATGTCACATTATCCTTTGATAGATTTAGTGACATTTTTGCGCTTCTGACAAATTAGAGTAAGTTTTGTTGGTTCTCAATAATAATCCATTAGACATGAATGAAGCGGATACAACTGATGGCTTTGGCAGGTTGATGGATTGTGGAAAGGTGAAGGAATACTCCATAGCTCAAAGTTACAAAAGAACTGCCCCTTGAAGAATTTAAGCTGCTCTGAGTGCATTGTCCAAGAAGTAACAAACCATAAAATGAAAGATGCAGTTTTCAACTAATGAGAATAAGCCCTGCATTCTGAATAGTCGTACCGCAAGAAAGAAATAGACTGGTTTCTCTTGAATCATAATATTAACTTAAAATCTGGAATGGGTATCAACAATACTGCATATTTCAAAAAATAAGAGCCTTCTTAATGTCTGGTTTGTGTGGTTAAAATTTGTAAAAATGATGCATGAATCAAATTTAAAGGTTAAAATCTTGGAATAAAAAATAAATAATAAATACTCTAAAACTCTAAAAAATAAGCAGTAGTTCAAAATTTCGATGCGAGGCAAAAGATAATAAAAAACTCAGTTGTATCTATCTTTGACCCTCTGTTATACCATTTTTAGTAAATGTCACTAAACTGTGGGTTGAACTATGCAAGGAAATATAAAAAAATGTAGTATTCCATTAATGCGGCTTCTGGATTTTCTTGTTTACCCACCATTGATGAAGTTACTTGCAACTAAATTAATGCTTTTAAAGCATGACTCATGGTATCTGAGGATGTTTTAATGAATATCGATGGAAACCTGTGCATTTATCAGTGCTGGTAAGTTTAGATATGAAGTGAACTTCCCATGTTTAAGAAAAGTTTCGATTAAAACAAGATTTTTGAAAAAATTAATCTCTTCTATCGTTTTGTAAGATGAAAAGTCAAGTGTAAAACAGTAACCAGTTAGCTCCAGTCTAAATTGATATTTTTTGACTGATTGATTCCTGATTGCCCTGAACAATTTCATTGGTATTCATGCTAAATCTCAAGCTCACATTAAGCAGTCAGCTATCACTTCTTTGAAAAATTGGACAACACAATCGTTCATTTACTACATGAGAGCTCAAAATTTCGTTGAATTCTAAACCTGATTTCTGCGGCTTTTAATCAAGACAAGAAAATTTGACCAATTTCACTGATTGATTATTTTGAGCAAAAATTCATTATTTGTACTGCTACTCCATTAATATATTACACGTGGATAATAGTATGTACCAATCTGCCTCCTGAGAACGATCACCTCATCAACTTATCATGACATGTCATAAAGGGTTCTTTTTCTGAAGTTTGACTCAGCCTACACTCTTCACAACGTGCAATTGAAACATACCAATGAAAGACAGCAGCTGACGTCCGTTGAACGAATCAATGAAAATGTTGCAACCCTTATATTTTACAAACTTCTACATGAATTAGTAAGGTTGTTGGTCATCAATTGTCGTGTCCTTTTATTTCTGAAACATGAAAAAGAGCAGAAAGACCCATTAGCTTTTTTGAAATGTGCAAAAAAAAAAAAAAAAAAAACACATCTTCACCTGAATCGTATCTACAATTTAATGTGCAGTGATTAATGGTTAGAAGGCAGCTCTGCCCTATGGTTACGCTTGAAAAATCTGAAGGAAAAAATTCTATAGACTATTTGAGCTCTGATCAACTATGTAATGCAAAAAAGACACCGTCTCAATGAACTATAAAATTGATTAATTTTACTTCATGTGTATCTTAAGCTTCAGCAGATGAAGACTTCTTCACAGTTGAACAAAAGAATTAACTCTTCTATCTCTAATGATGAGTCTATTTCATGAAGTGTTCCAGCCACCAACGAAAAAAAATAATGAGAAGCCTCCTATTGGTATTAGAGTAATTAACTTGGCTACTTTATTTTATACAATAAAAATTAATTGGATTTTCTTCCTCTAAGTCAAGACTATTCTGTGAAATTTTCCAACGATGAGGTAGGTGAATTTTCCTTTAAAAAATGAAGTGTGAGTGGAGATTTTGAAATGAAGAGGTCAAGATGCACTTTTTTCTAATTTCACCTTTGATAGAGACAAAGGGATCAACGTCAAAAATCCCGATAATAGCAAAATCTGTTTTCAGAAATAATAGTATTGCACATCAAAATCTAGTTGATATGATCAAGAATCTGCCTAAGTTTCTTGTTGCCAGCTTAAGAAACTGAGACCAGAAAAGAAAACAATTTTGATCATTTAATAATTTTATGGTGATTTAAAGGTATCAAGTTGATTGCCTTTAAACAGAATCCTGAAACTTGAAAATTCATTGAAACCCTCTGTGAAAACCTCATAGAGATTTCAAGATAAAGATGTAAGATCTCATTGTAGTAAGTACAAAACAGTTGTGGTTTGGAGACGAGAAGGGGTAAAAGAATTTCCAAGATATGGAAGTTCTAAACTGATGTTTTGAGGAGTGCCCAATAAATTCCTATTTCAGGTACATGACCAAAATTTTGTTGGCTTATGGTAATCTAGTAAACATAATTTTTAGTCAGCGGGCTTGGCAAATATGAACGCATATCCTCAACTTATAGGTGGCTCAAGGAAGCTCTAACTTGTGCTCTGCTGGTCGACAAAATTCAGGCCTATAGTTTTATTCAGGTAAGGAACACTTCACATTTTCATCAATACGCTTAAGAACATTTAAATACTGCTACGAAATACTGTAAAGACATGCTCTTTGCACGAACAAACATTTCTGAAAACATTTCACTTTGATCCTGATTTCACACTCTGAAAAAAGTGCTTCAGTTCTCCAGAAACTTCGTTGCTCATTAAGAATCATTATTGTACATAAAAATCCCCCGATCTTGACTTCACAGTAAGGTTTGCGAGATTCAACATTGAAAGTAAATAGATACATGCCTACATTACAATAAAACACGGTAAAAACACTAGGTGCCTTAGCATTTGAAACAGCTATTTTGGACAGAAAAATAACTCAATAGATCCTTCTTGTTGGAAAACTCTTAAAAATCTCTGGGGTTGGTTTGAGAGATACTGTTCCTTACATTACTTGGAAAGTCTAAAGGCAGTTTTAAGAGAAAAAATGTTAGCATTTGTGCAAAAGAAATCTATCTCCATTAAAATTTGTGGAAATAGATATGAGTTCAATCGTTTGGAACGAGTTATATACAGGGTTATTCAAAAGTCACGCACCACTGGCCATGAGATACAAGGTTTTGCACTTTCGCTGTTGATATGCTAAAAACTTGGACACATTTTACTACTTTCCCCTGATCATTAGGCCTCAACAATCAAGACAAAAGTTTGTAATCACTGCAACTGACCCATTCATAAGAAAACTTAAATAGGCTAGAATTCAAAATGAAACATGAATGCATTACAACTTCTGTTACCGGGGAATATATGCTGCAAGGAACAGTATCAGCAACACCTCTGCAGGTCTAATTCAGCAAGTAAATTTTGCAATGTTTTCGTGAGTGAACAGTAATAAGTGCAGTAAGAGCGAGGTCAGAATATTTTAATGAGGTGAGAAATTTTGCGTTAGGATGGTAATTAGCACTAAGCAATCAGCATAATAGTAACACCATGCAAGAAAATCTCTGTGATTACAAAACCTTTGCAGGGCGAACGACATTCTACAACATGGCATGCATTAAAAGAGGTGCACTCGGTGAGGAAATCAATAGAAATATTCAATTAATATTATGCAAAAGGGCTCAAGTCAATTGCCTGGTTCCAAAAAAGTATCTGAGTTTTTATACAGTTATTGGTGAGCTGCATGACGAATTTTCTAAAAAAAAAGGGAGATTTTCCTTCGAGCTAGCCTTCGAGGTAATGGAAATTTTTGGACAAATGTGAATCTTGAGTTAGAGAGAACTGAATCAAATACTGTCTGCGATTCTTAATGCAACAAAACAACAGCTGTATGTTCTTTGGCATCATAGTGAGAAGAAAAGCATTGTAAGTACTATTAAAGATTACAACACGTGACCTGAGCAATTTAGAAATTACTGATAGTCATTGATTCCATAGAATTTTGGTACATCTGAAATTTCAGGTAGTTGCAGTCAGTTAGGTAACAGCACAAAGTGGAGGAAAAATGTGAAGAAATGTAGCATTTTTCATTTTATGTTATATAAAACCTTCCGAAAAAGCTTGATTCAGAAAACTTATAAGTGTATGATGCCTTTGATCTCACATAGGCATTCCACAAAAACTGTTCAGATATTCAAGCTTGGATGTTCATTGTCAGCATGATACAATTTAATGAAGGAGTACAAAGTCAAGTTTGGGAACTGTCATTTTCTCTAAAGGAAAATTATCAGTATACTAAACAGCTGCAATCAAATCCGCGTAAGAAAGATATTTATCATCAGCTGGTCCAAAGCCCAAGTGAATCCAGATGGTTAAGCATAGGACTAGCAATCCCACCACGGTGTAAACCCTTGATACGAATCCTCTCAAAAAGGAGAGAGGCTAAGGCCTACAAAGGGTTACACCGCTGTTTAGTACGAAAAATGCAATTAATCATTGCAATATAAGACTATGTAACATCTACCTCCAAATACTACTACAGATACAAAAAATGATCACACATCATGAGTGTTGTTGTTTCGGACAAAGGCTTTCGGAGTTCTTGACAGATGGGGGAAAAATTTGTAAGAACTCTTTCTTTTTTTGATTACAAAATATCTATTTGAACAACTCTGAGAGAAATTTAGAAGAGTCCTAATCAACAATTTTCTGTAATTGATATTAACATGCTCAGTTTTAAAGAGGGGCCTATCTGCAACAGAGAGCTTGTGCCCAATTACAAGCTTTTCTGCAAGCTAATTTGGCTAGACACCTTTGGCTTAAGTACCTTCGAACAATGATATTGATACAAAAAGAGTCCGCACATCATGAGTACCATTTTTCTGAACAAAGGCTAGGGGAGTTCTTTACAGATGAGGAAAAAATTTGCAGGAACGCTTTTCCTTAAAATTGACTACTAGACAAACTTCAAATTCAAGCATTATGATAAGGACGTTTTCATCAAAATTTCACGTATAGAAAAATTTGAGCAACTCCTGATCAAGATATCAACGTTTTTCAATATATCATTCAAACTTCCCGCTCATAAAAAAAAAAACTATGATCTACTTGAGTTAAATCACACTCTAGACATAATCAGAACAGTCTTTGCAGTCTGCAATATGAAAATATGGCCAACTCAATCCTGGCATTTCATATCAGCTGTTGCACGTTTTCTACACTTAAAACAACACAGGGTGGGGAAGAAATACGGCTCGATTAAGAAGCCTACCAAAACTATTTTAGTGAGCGATTTGATTCACGTAGACTCTGGTTTTCCTAATGAGTGGGAAACTGAAATTTTTTGTAACCAAGGCTACATAAAAAGTGAATATTTAGGTCAGGAGTCAATTTCAGAAATAATAAAACTAGTACCTCATTAATATTTATTCAATTTGCATTTTTATGGCAGCAGAGCTTATGGTCTGTATCACCCAACACCAAATTGTGTTTCATTTTCAGCAGGCATTAGTTTTTGTTTCCTAGGAGTGTTGGCTGCACGCGGAGCAGATAAGGTTTACTAAAAGGAAGGAATGATTAGTGACAGATCAGCAGGCTATCTCAAGCCACCAGTGCTGCACAATAGATGTTAGATGATTGCAAAGTACTTTATTCAGAACAGGCTTGTTTTGCCAACCTATTCACCAAAGGATGTATTATGACATATCTACAAGCTAAAAGTAATTTCCAGAAATTTCAGCTGTCAATGAATTAGTTTTGGAGGGGGAGAGGGGAGCAGTGTTCGAAATTTACAGGCGCCAAAGCACCAAATGCGCCTAAGAAATCGGTCATGGCGCCTAAAAAATGAAGGCTCTGGGCCAACGTGGCCCCTATAAGATTACCCCCCCCCTCCCCCCCCCCAAAAAAATCTAAATTTTTCTGTTGGGTGGTTTTTTGAAATTTCCCCTAAGTTACAGCTACTAGTTATAAAACTAAAACATCTTGCGTCTAACTTTTCACTAAATGCAGTGTGATATATAGGTAAAAAATGAATTTGGCCCCTAAAAATCAAGCTTGATGCGCCACATGGCTCCTGAAACTCAAAGGTGGATTTCGAACAAGAGGGGGGGGGGGGGGAGTTAAGGGAGAGCCTTTGATGTGACATGGTATCAAAAACCCACTGAGAATCTCCTCATTTAATTTTAAGGTATAATTTACAATGATAAATTACCAAGTGAATGCTATTTAGTGACCTTGATATAACTAGCAACCTTGCAAGCGAGTAACTGTCATGTATCTCACCCCCCTAGGGTAATGAGTTGAGCCTCTAAATTAAGAATATTAATTTCTGAGGAATGCACGATTATGACGAAAATATCAGAGCCTGCAAGAGGTTCGTCTATCTTTTATCAGGCCTTTAAGGGAGCTAGTTGGAAAAATGTGACAAAAAAGCCTAAAAAAACGGCTGTTGCTAAATTCGGTGATTTCCTTGAAAATAAAACATACCATATTTTGCAACTTTTTGGAGATAAGTATGTTTCAAAAGACTTGGTATATTTAACTGAGAGAGGATATTTTTAGATTAATTCAGTTCACAGCTGTTCAAAGATGTTTGACAATGATGTGAATTTATGGACTGTTCAACTTGGATCTTGCCTCCTTCTGAAAATTTTTTGGGTGCTGAAATTTCGGGAAATGACTTTTTAGATGTGGTTCTACATATCAAATTAAGGACTTGAGTGAAAATCCAGTATTGATCAAAAATAGCTCTCTCTGAATGGACCCATTAATTTGGAAGCTTTCTTAAGAACTTAGAGAAGGCGCAAGTAATACCTAAATATCACCAAAGAACCGTAGAAATAGCGATCGGAGAGAAAAAATAAACTTCAGTAAAAGAATATCAGAAAGATTATAGCTGCCTGCAAGTGAAGACTTTTCATTTGGATTATGTTTTGATCAGGAAAAACGAGAAAAATGGAATAAATATCTATTGAATGATCTTTACTCAACAAATTCATTGATCTTTTTATGGCACTCTCTTCACTTTTTAGCTTTACTTTTCAGCTTGAAAAAGAAAAGAAAAGGGTAGTATGGAAGGGGTGTTGGAGAGTTAAGATGGAAGAGAGGAAAAAGGAAGAAAGAGAAAGAGAGGTATCATTAAATTAAAAAGCTACACTCGCCCCTCATAAAAAAACTTAATGAAAGAATTAAAAATACTTGGGTGACTAGAAATGCTGCTAAACTTAAAAATTGGAAAATAAAACTTTAAAATAGCTAAGCCTACCATTAAGACTAGAATTACAATTACTGAAAAATGACGAATGACTGCTAATAGTCATGGGCACGTACCTATTATATGGACTGGGTGACATGTAGCTCATGTGTTATATTGCAATAGAAAGTACATTGAAAGATAATAAGTTGAAACTTTTAAATATCCTTGATGACAATCATAGGGTCTCCATAACCATAGGTCTTCATATAACTGTACGTTTATTCCGTATCTTAATGGTGCATTTGAGAGATACATTGACTTGACATGAATTAGAAAGCCAAGCTACTTGAGGCTACTGTTTTAAATCCTGCTATGGAAAAGCTTTCGCGGTTCTGACTAATTTTATTAGGAATAAAATCGTCACGAGCGGAAGGGAAAAGAGAAATAAATGCAGGGATATGGTGAAATGAGGAGCGTTAAGAGAATATGATACAACACTAGTCATATAGAGATAAAATTCAAAGGAAATGCACTACAACACCATATCAAAAGTAGAATAAAGCGTAAAGTGCAACAAATTAGAATATTCAACTCACAAGGCAGAGAAAGAGCCGCTACTCGACGGTGCCAGGTCGATCGTTGTCGACTCATTCCCGAAGATAAGTTTCACCCGCTTAGTTGGCGGCTGGAAAGGAACAGAATTTTCGTTCACTTTTTCTCCACACGTAGAACTTGTTCCATCAACACTTTCTCCTTCCTCCTCTTCGTCGTTTCCTTCTTTTTCTTCTTTCTTGTTGTGACGTTTGTGTTTCTTCCGCTTGTGAGTTAGATCAAACTTGACGTCTGAGTCTACCTCCAGTCTTAGAATTTCATACTCTGGTTCAGGACTCTGTTCACAGGTGGGCCATGATGAACCTGATTCGAACACGTCATCTAGAACGCGGCTGACACGACCTCGCTTCATGCGTAGCGTCAGTTTCAATCTACCACCTTGCTTCTCATTCTCCAGCTTCCGCAATTTCACTGGTTCACTTTCATCCTTGTCATCAAATTCATAAACATCTTTAGAATGACGATCTATACTTCCTCTATCCGACAGCATGACACTTTTCGATATATTTGAGTCCGAATTTATTCGACACACATTGTTGTCACTATTATTGTTGTTGTTGTTGTTGTTGTTCATCAGCATAATTGAGCTACTGTCTGCTTTTAGTTTTGAATTGATACACTGCTCCGAGTGTAATTCTGTATCATGGTTGAGTTCTGAGAAAACTGGATTGAAACTGCGCTTCGATTTGGATCGATTCGAGATCCCGGTGGATGACTCACTTTTGGCTAATTTACCTAGACTAAATTGGCTGCATTCATCAGAGGTTAAGTTCAGTGCGCTCTCATCGGTGTTATTAAACGTACTATTGAGATTGCTACCACTTTTTTCTTTAGTAACTGTTGACCCCTCAACTAACTGCTTATTACTCCTTAATCTTATTCCGAAATTTAAGTTACGATTTGAATCGATATTGTTATTTACATTTAAATTATCACCTAGTTTCAATTTGGACCTACTAGCTAAATTATTTACAATACCCCCCGTCGTGCTGGATTCTACGATTTTCTTTGCCGGTGGATGGTGACCACTGCGTAAAGCTCGAGTGCTTACACCAGTTTCCCGCTGTCTGTCAATTTCTTTTGCTATGGATTCCCCCCGATTACGCGAGGCTAAGAACATTTTCTTTTCCAGACTTTTCCTGTTTTCTTCGTTGTCAATGTCAGAAAATTTACAACCGTGTGCTATGAGAAGCTCTGCGTCGTATTTGGTGAGCCCTTTCTGACGCAATTCTCGCATGCTCAACGGTGTAATGACATCAACATGTCCGTTAGAACCAGGTTTCACGCGAGCATTACCAACAGACGATGATTGAGGCTGCGACTCAATATCTCCACCACTTTCTTTTTCAGTATCTTTACCTGTTGGCTGGTTGGCTTGATGCTTTGAGCGATTAATTCTATGGTTTGTTTCTCTAAGTTGATATCCTGACTTCTGATCTTCAATAATTTCTTTCCCTTTCGCAAAGGCACCAGTTCCTTTCCTGGGAATGAAATCAGTCTGAATCAGAATAATGCCAAGAGCAAGAGGATGCAATTAAAACTATTAAGACTTCTCTTTAAGAAATATGGTTTTACACAAGACCCTTGATTGGATTAACAGGGAGACATTTAAGGCTACAGCGTCAGATAGCGAATTTCGGGGATTGAGTAGAATACTGATCCATGCAAAATATTTACCTTAAAGTTCTGATTTTCAATCTCATCAAAACTCCCTATGTAATTCGAAATGTTTCCTCTTCAATTAGAAATTTGATTGATTCAACATCTCGATAATTTCAGTAAATTCAAACCTTGTTTCTTTGGATTATGAGAGGACGACTGTGTATAAAGCTTTGCTGGTGCTGTGTCTGAAGATGGAGTCATTATTAAAAAATAGCAAAGACAAGGGTTTAACTTTAGTTGGTTGAAGATTAGTTGTTCCCAGAACTTTAAAATTTAGATAAAATTAAAGAAGATAATTAAAGGAGAAGCAACTAACAGCTTTGAATGAAGCTGTGCAGTTTTAAAAGGTGACCAGTAAATAGATGAAGAACTGGGCATGATCTTATGCCGCAAGCTTTTGTAGGTTTGAACTGTTATGTCAAAAATGGCATCCTCCTTAAATGTTACCAAAAATTCAAAGAGAGTCATAGGATTGTCACTTACTTTCGGAAAAATTATTTGCGTTATTAATTTTGTCCATTCTAATACATTTACCTCAGATCTGGAACAGCTATTGACCATTAATTGTCTAATGAGGATTAATGTTTCAGGGAGTGCTGAAAAATTACTAACAGAACTCAGAGCCTGTAATTCGAACAAAAGTTACATTTACCTTTCACAAGTAACACATTCACAATATCCATTTCCATCTCCAAAAAAATCCTCTCCATAGAAACAGGTGATTTCTTCACCGACTTCAATATCCCTTAAGACTTTGACACAGGCGGTATCTCTGCCAGTTGCGACAAACTGTCAAAAGAATTGAGATTCGATACTATTAATATCCTTGCTGCCATCATTTTTCAGAAAAATTTACAGGGGTGGATCATGTTTTTATAAGAACCAAGTTATCAAATTAGATGATGATTTTTCTTCATTTAATGAGAGTCTGCATTAGTAAGGCTGTTTTGAGACACATCCTTTGAACCAGAAAAAAGGGCAAAATTTCGTGAAAAATATGGAAAGATACAAAACCAAGTTCACATAAATTGTTTAGCCCGAAGTTCATTGAGTTCTCATCATTTAGTTTCTAATTAATCAACAGTTGGCCGGTTTGTCAGTGTTGATACCAACAGCCTAACATGATGCTACAGAGCAAGCTAAAAATTACAGCAGAGTGAAAAAAATCATTAAAAAAGAAGAGAACAGTTTACCTTGCAATTGGCACGACAATCATGATTGATGAATGCTGCAGGGCCTAGCCACAGCTGTGCACAGTTTTTCCTACAGCTGAACATGACTGAAAAATCGTTTTTCCCTGGATGTAACAGTGCTCTTTCCTCCTCTTCAGTCAGTTCAGCAATGCAGCCGACTAAACACGTAATTTGTTCATTCTTTAACCTGTAAACAAAAACGCATAATGGTACTTCAGTGTGATATTCATCTCTTTGATTGTTCATTGGAGATGCTCCAATTCCGCAGAATTGAAATGAAGAATTTCTGATGGGTATCAAAGTTTGTCACCTTTTTGAAGTGTATACGTTCAGGATGTAATGTTGTAGTTCTTGGTTATGGGGATCTAGCAAATCCACTTTGCGCTCTTATTTTGATCCAGTTATGCAAATTTTACAAATAGCTCTTCAAAGAAGAGTTATGATCACGAAATCATCAAATTAGGCACTAGGATAGCTGCGACTCAAGAAAATTAAAAAATGATCTGTTACTTCGACGGTACAGTTCAACTGTACAAAAAATGCCAATAAATTTTTATCACTCTTTCTTCTATTTTGCCGCTGCCCTATACGTTAAGCTGAAAGTTTAAACTGATTTTTCAAGAATTAATTTGTATATTTGCTCTTTTCACTTGGATATGGAGTATTAGAACTATTTCAAGTAAGAAAGGTAGTGTTTCCCTTCTTTACTCAGACGCTACACCACTACTGTTTATGATGCACAGAACCAGTTGTGTGATAATGAAAAAATAAAATAAATAAAAATTAGAACTTAGAAAAAAGGGGTTAAAATGTATATGTGCCCGAGGCTATACCAATTCCAGGCCTCACATTTTCCATGGACCTCCTTGGTAGCAATGTCAAAGTCAGCAGCAGTGATTGAGATATGGTAACATCAGCGGAAGCATTTCAGCTCAGTCAAATTGCCCAGTGGGGCGGTCAACGAGTTAAAATCACTTCCAACCGCAACAAGCAAATGAAAAGTTAAATGAGAAAAATAAATACAGGGTGTCTACAAGATTTTCAAAATGAAATTCCCTGACAATTCCAGGTTTTCCATGACAAAAAATGACAAAATTCCCTGACTTTTAGGGTTTAGCCATACGATGAACTAGTTAGAAAATATAAAAAAAAACTATCCTTAGGAATGACCCCGTAAAGTCATATTCTGAATTACCATGGCGTTGGAAGGAGTTGAGTAATAATTTTGAAAGGAACGAGATCCTAAATACTCAAAATAAAGCTAATTCCAAAATGGTATCCTCAGACTAAAATTCACCTTCAAAATGTAATTTTTAAGCTCTATTACGCTCTCTTTGTGACATATTGCCTCGTATACTTTTGAAAATTCAAACTATAGTTCACCCTGGTCGTTTCATATATTGGCATATTACTTAGTGTCCTGAAAAAACAAGTCTCTTTTTCTTAAAATATAAAACAAGAGTTGTAAATGTGCCTAACTCAGGTAGATTTTGCTATAATCAAGAGGAAATATGAGTCTCTTCTCGATTTTAGATAAATTTCCTTGATTTTTTTTTTTTTTTATTTAAGGTCAATTAATTCAGTGGATTCCAGAACCTATTGTTGGTATTGAATTTGTCTTATACTCAACAAGCGTTGGCTCATTAGAATATAATCCACCAATAATATTTCTACAAGGTGGATGCACCAGTTGTGAACATGATGATTTAAGAACCAGAAAAATTTCACGCAAAATACAGTTGACATTAAATATTTCTTTACTCAGTTAAAGAAAAACTAAAATTCTAGCACTTTCATTAAATTTCCTAACTTATTGAAAAAAATTGATTAACCATCTGCTCAAAACTTAATTTCCTATCATTATTTACTGTAATTTTCTGCTGTTAGCAAGTTAACTTCATTCAAATCTATTTAGTCTATCTTGCCATTTGGCATGAATTAAGTAGATAAATTAAATAGGGCAGATCGATTCGATCTTTAAAGTTAGCGAACACACATTAGTGAACCTAGCGGCCGTGTTGCAAACTGGTTGAACAAAGCAGTTTACCTTATCAGCCACGCGAGCGCGCTACTCGGCCAATTCGGCAGTGACGAGCAAAAATAGCCGCGAAATGTTCGAATTGCGAAAATTCCCTGACTTTCACCGGTTTTCGATCGAATTCCCTGACTTTTCTCGGTTTTCCAGACAGTGATCAAATTCCCTGATTTTTCCCGGTTTTCCAGACCTGCAGACACCCTGAAATATATCTGAGAGAAGAGTGAAAAATGGCTTGTTAATAATCTCAGAAATTGAAAAGTTCAAAATCTTGACCTTAATGCTACATCTGGGATGACCGGCAATGAGGAACAGAAACTGGCTGACTAAATCAGCCTCATTGCCGGCACTTCGGCTAAAAAAAAGTACCTTTAAAGCACACAAACCATTTCTTTGTTGCAGATATTTTGGCTCCTTTCTGGCCTTCCAAGGAATATCTGTAACAAGGCTCGATGATGAATCCTGATTCTTTATCGAAGACTCTGAGATATCTATAAATCTGAAAAGGAAATAATACATATTAAGGCACCGGTTACAATAAAACTAAAATTTTTAAAAAAATTTTAGCTCTACAAATCATGATTTAGCAAACGTTCAGGTGGGAATAACGACAGCAGTTTTCAGTTCTTCAATGGAAATAATCGCTCGTAACATCAGTAAATTACATTCAATCGTATAATAATTTTTTAAACGTTTTTGAAGCAGATCTAAGATATGATCAAATGGGACAGTAGATCAAATTTGTACTTGAAAACTTCACCTTTTCTTCTCTAAATGTTGCATAATCAAAACGAATTTCTCAATTTGATATCGATGTTATTTAGAGTGCTTATTTAGGTTAAGTATGGCCACCTGTATTTTTTTTAATACAGGAAAGTTGTGCCACTTTTTGACTGGTCTACGAGTTTTAAGCTGTCATGGTGCTCTAACGGTTTGAAGAGAAGAAACGCTCCCATTTTTCGATTAGCTTCAGGAAGTTCATGCTGACCCTCTCACAAGAAAATACTCCAGATGTGCTGTTAGCACCCCCCCTCTTTCAGTGATATTCCAATTTATGGTTTACTAAGAGCAGAAGTGCAGAAATATTCCATCACAGCCATAAAATATGAAAGAAGGGAAATTTTTAAGGATAAAAGTCGAAAATCAAAGGAAACGAGAGGAAAAGTGCCCTCACTCTGGAGATTGGAGGAAAATTTAGAAGAAAGTCAGTGAGAAAAATAAGGAGGGTTGGCGGGCAGACAGACGAAAATGTGGAAGCTTGGAAGATTCTGCACCCCTATCTTCGAATTGACATGTTATTATGACCCAAAACTAGTCCTAAAGTTTTTTATCTTTTCTTAGTGCACACTTAATTTCTTTGTCAGATATTTAATGATTTTTTCATTCAATCCTCCTCCAATTCTCTAAACATTTGCAAGAAGTCGCAATCTTGTTTGATTACTTACAGTAATGAGAGCACTTTATCAGTCTTTTTTTCAGGACCAATGAGAAGCAGTACACAAATGGCCATACTTGCTCCATATAGGTACTCTAATGTTAGTAATAGGCATTGTTCATTTCACGATTTTTTGAGAGGAAATGAGTGCAGAAAGAAATATGATTGTCTGCTCGAATATTCATAAAAAGCATTTCTGTTCCTATTATTGGGATGTATTTATGCGAAAAAGAACTATGTTCAAGTGAAAAAATGCGGTGTGCTCGTGGAAGCTGGGTGAGAAACAATGTATAAGTGGATATAGTTCCTTATGAGAAAATGAAACAGCAGAATTTGACATTAAATCAAAAGGAACTGAGCGATAACTTGTGAGCCATGGGCATGTCACAAGAGCATTGTAGACAGGTCTCATGAGGTAAAGAGTCCCCATCATGCCCGACTTGATCGTTGCCGCTGACGTCACTGGCGCTTCTAAATTCCCATTCATTCTCATGGCCCTCAACTAGCGAGCACACCCCATCTTTCCACTTGCACATAGTTCCATTTAGCACGAATACGTCCATTTCTTTTCGTTCTTCTCTGCGGAAATTAGAAGCTGAGAAAAGTAGTTAGGCTGATTCTGGTCGTCCATTCACTTTCATGAAAGTTCATAAAAAACATAGTTTTCACGAACAAATTACACGCAAGATAATTGAACGAAATGAAGCAAATAAAAATAAAAAATCTGGAATTTCATAATTGATTATTAGAAGAGAAATTTAAAAAGTCAGGAGGAAAAAAAGGAGGGGAAAAATAGATAGAAACTTACGAATTCAACATTAATTTTTTTTTTTGGAGAGCAGGATGGTTAAGATAGGAAATGAAAGACTCGGATAGGAGTTCAGGATATTTTAGAATTGGGTAGGGAATTCGTGGAATCTGCAACTTCAAAACAAGAGAAAACAGCTTGGATACTGAGAGGACTCAATGTCGAACAAATGGAAAGATGGAAAATTGCACAGAGCCTCCTTATCTTTGAAAGTATTTAGGTATTCCTCCAGTCACCCAATTCAGTAAATAATTCACTTCTCCATTGAGCCCATTTTTATAGATCACACTTTAGTTCATGGTCACACGACTTGGGCTTGTAATCACCAAACTAGATTGAAAAGTTGGTGAAATAAAGGCATGATTTTATTCACAGGAAAGTATGTACTGTGTTGGCGAATATGTGGAATTTTGGGTGAAATGCTTCACTTCTCCTAACAAAAATTGTGCTTCTGTTTTGATAAATTTTTTAGCACAGCAGATTTGTCTAAACTAACTCCCAAATGCATAATTTGCATCTACACCATGCAAAAATTGCAACAGCATCAAAATCTATACTGCTTATTTTAAAATTTTACTAGTCTGCTAGCTTTTTCTATGGTCACCAGCATCAGGCTTACCCAGAGAGACATGAGAAAACCTGACATAAACTAATTCTAATCATTTTCGAGCTGTGTTTTTCACCTTATTTCTTTGTGTTGCAAAAACGAATGTTATAAAACGATTAAAACCATTTGAAAGAAAAATATGCAACAGACTGCAAGATACTTTTAATTAGTTAAGTCAGGTGTTCTTCCATCTCTCTCTCGGTAAACCTAATTAAAGTATTTATACAACACTGGTTACCTGCTTAACAAAAGTCAAGAATAAAGTGCCCATGAACATAGCACATTTGAAAATGAATAATATGGGGTGCACAAATAGTGCATTAAGGGCTGGATTATTTTAAATTTTTCATATTCTTTCATAGGACGCAATTAGTATTGGAATTTTCATGCTATTTTACCGAACAAGAGTTTTCTTACTTGGAAATTTGCTCTTACTTCAGTGTACAACAGACCCATGGAAATGAGTACTACCTAAGTACAATTTATTAGGGAGGAAAAGTGAAAAATCTGGAATAGAAATAAAATAATCTCGTTTGAGATAGCAGAACAGGGGACAGGTGAGGGTTTCTACAGGGACTGAACTCTAATACTTTGCCTTTACACATTGCTCCTACCCCAAAAGTATGTTTCGCACATTTTTCTGATGTTGTTTATACAAAGTATGATGTGTATTGGGAGCATCTAATCCTTATTTTCCGGTTGCTGCAATTTTTTATATTCATAGCTTCCTGAACTAATCTTAAAAAATATATATCTCTATATATAATATCTCTTTAAAAATATATACATTAAATACATTTAACGGTCAAGATCTTACTGCTGAAACAAAGGAGGGGGGAAAAAGTGAATACTTTACATGTTCTTTTAAGTGTCGCTGTTCAAGTTTGTTTTTTAAATGTTGCATTGTTCTTGGCATCCAATTTTCCGCCAAAAGCCTTTTGTACGCTTCTTCATAATCCTGCGTTTTGATGAAATCCTCTATGATATTTTTCAACTCCTCCTTGTTCGCTTTCAGAGGACGATACCTGAAAAAAAGATACATTGTAGTATAAGTCCTCTCTCTCTGTAACAGCCATTTTTCACTATAGTAGGTGCGAGAGTTCCTATGTATACTGAGATAAAACTCATGAATTCTTGGCAGAAATATTTTATGCGGTAAAATTGCTTGGTTTGCAGCTTGAAGGTGCAAACCAAGAACTTTGACTAGAGGCAATGTGAAAATAAAATGAGGAAAAATTTTCATTGACAAAATGATTGGAAAATGATTGCCTACTTACTTCATTTTATGCAAATTTCAGAGATTTTTTGTGGCCCTTAGCATTATTTATGTGCCAGAAATAGGTATGAAACTAAATTGAATGGTAACTGAGAAAAAAAGAATCAAGATTGAGGGGGAACAGAATGAGAATGTCAAAATACCTAATTACTAATTAACATTTTGGATCCCCTACCTTCGTAACGAACAGACAGTCTTGAAAATGTATTTTACAAGTAACAACTTTCTCTGCATGAACAAATAGGTTTTGCTAATGGTTAGGAGGTAATAGTTACCTAATATTCATTTTATGAGTTGTGAACCCTAAATAAGGATCCAGCACTAGGGAGGTTGCCAAATCATCATTTTCGGAGAGTTCTTTTGGTGTCATTCCTGTAGGCTGATGCAGCCGACTGCAAAATAGTTGCCTCTGACCTGAATCCACCACCATCCTGAAACAACAAAATTCCAAAAATACAGGATCCAGTGAGAACTCAACTACCCCAATCCTCGATTAAAAGCTCGGTCAATTTGGCGATACCATACAGTCCAATCAAGTTTTCAGAGGGGGATATCGATTATATGGCAGGTTGCACATGGGTTGGAGCAAAAAAATGAGCAAAAGCAAGGGTAGGGAGCCTAGAAACCACCCTGAGCTGCTAGAAGAGAGGAATTTTTTTGCTTTGATAACAAAGGAACTAGAGGCTGCAAAAATAATTGATAGAGATGGATAGATTCTGTGATTTATCTAGATTTTTTGCTTGAGGACTACTTAAGTTGGACCGATGAGTCCAGATTGCTTCCTAAGCACACAGAGGTTTTTTTGCTTCTTTTAAGAGCAATTGGATCACATTTAGCAAAAAGGAACCAGTGCAATTACAGTCATGTAAAAATGTTGCTTCTTCATAATTATCCAAAAAATCTCCCAGAATAGCAAATAGTTTTTGCTTCCGACCAGAAAATTGGTAATTTTAAAGGAAAATAATTGAGTATAGTGCAGTGCATGCATTAAGTATTTTTAAGAGGAAATGAGAAGTTGCATGATTTTGAGAACACTGAAATCGCGCTGGTTCCTTTTGGCTAAATGCGATTCAATTGAACGTGTAGGTATTGATCAGTTTTTAGTGGTTTTCTACAATTTTGTTTTAGAAAAATATTATACTTTCATAAAAAATTAGCTGTTCTACACTTCTCAAAGTTGTAGTATATCACAGTTTAAGGGATGAAACAGGCACTAGAGTGGACACAGAAATAGAAACTTATGAAAAAATCCAGGGACTCCTCCTATGAAGGGGGCAGGTGGGTGGGAGGATGATTAAGAGCATGTGTTGAAATATTTAATACAATATGGAGAAAAAAATGTACTTCACTCAGTCTCCTTGAGGATTTGGCCTACTTACACTGATTCAAAACTGGTAATAGGCAGACACAGAAAATCAATTTTTTCGGTGTCAGAGTACCTCCAAATATTTAAGATTCAAAAATCATGACATTTGACTGACATTTCTAAGGCATGATATTAAAAAGCCCTGATTTTTTGCATTAAGCAGTTGCAAAATCAAGCATCTTCATCTTTACAGAACAAAATACTAGAAGAGTCACTGGTTTTTGTTTCTCTACTAAAAAATGTTAGTTATAAAGGGAAAAGGTTATTATTATTACATATTTTTTTTAAAGAGTGCTTACATGCAGCAGGACTTTCAAATTTAACCAACATCTTTGACATTAACATTTTTGAAGGAATATGATAATGCTGTTGGTTTTTACCTACTTGGATCAACTTTCATGCTCAAAAAAAGCTCTTGAAGTTGATGCTGGAAGAGCACCCTTGCCATTCAAGCAAAACCCACCTCGATATTCAGTCAAACTCTCAATACATAGATGGCATTGAATACATTAGCAGAGCCCGTATGTATAAGGCTGAATACATTACCACTCACTGAGAGGAATTCGACAGTCAAGATGGAAATTTTTAGCTTGCAGTCATAGCAACTCTGTTAATATATTCAGCGCTTTCTCTGTATGGAAGGGTCTGATTGAATATGGAGGTGGACTTGCTTGTAAGGCACAAGTGCTCCTTTATTACAGTCTCAACTTTGAAGGTTTCCTCCAAGCTTTGACCCTGAATAAGACCAAACTAGTGGCACCACCATGTTCCTTGCAAAACTTAATACATGAAATATGGCAAAATAAAAAAATCCAACTGGTAGCAATGTATCCATTTAAGCGATGCTCCAAATTGCTCTTGTTATTTACTTCCCCTCAGAGCCCACTGCAATAAAAAAGACAGAATGAAAGGTAGGAAATCTTCTGACCAACTGAGATGTGCTTTATACAACCTTTCAATCAGAAATCGTTTGACTCCATATTGAGTATTACTTGCTGATGCAGGGATAAAAAAAAAACTGTTTTTTTAAAATTTGGGGATTTGAACAACAGACTTGTGATCTAATCAGGGGAAACCAAGGGACACATATGAACAAAGATCGTTCCATGCTCTCCGAGTCAAGCAAGAAATTGAGCTTGGAGTCAGAGTCGCCTTGAGAGATGAAGCTCATTTCAGCTGAAATATGCTTTGAAAATAAATGAGAATCCATAGACCTAACCTCTCTGATCTCGATCAGCCAATATAAAGACTGGACCGGAGAGCTCATTATGAGTATTGATTGAGAAATTAAAAAGAGTTACCAATTGCTGCAAAGAGAAAATAATAGTAGTCATTGTAATACTGCTAAAGGTAGAGAGTTTCAATTTTTGAGCTCTATGAGACAGTTTCAAATTTCCCTTGCTTAGCTATCAAAGCACTCAGTTGAGACGGTAAAAAAAGCATAATTGTATCTAATTGAAAACATTATCTGATAAGTATCAATCAAAGATACTAAAGTCATTATTTCATGACAGAATATTTTTTATCAAAGGAGATTAAAGCTGGTGATATCAATAAACAAAAACAGCAAAAACTTAATGACTTATGTACATGAAGGATAGCATTAAAACGAGATGAGATTCAATTAATAGTGAGAAAACAGATGAGGACAAGAGTCAGAAGAGATCCCTTCAAAGGATATGTTTAGAAAAAGGGCTGTACTTTCAGAATAAAGCCATGCAAGCACTGAGGGTGGGTACATAAGATGGCTCATGACCAAGAATTTGTCATGATTGAGAAATAACAAAGGAAACGGTAAACAGGTTGAATTGGACAGAAAGATTTTGAAAATGAAATTTGAAATTGCAGATTCAAACATTGGAAGTCATTTGTTCGTAACGGGCGCTGTGCAAGTGCATCTGTCATGGACTAAGTTCATTCCCAACTTAGATTTAGGATATTGACTGAATGTATGAGAAGAGATAAGAATGCAATGTTAAATACTTAAACTTGATGCAGTTGTAATAATTTGCTTGGAGATTGAGAGGGTCAGATGACAGAGTAGTTCAAAGAGGAGGATGCAGTTTGGTAGGCGACAAATGCAAATGATAAGGGGATGCCTCTTCTTGGAGACGGTGATGGAGGGTAGTTATGGCAGAGATAAATTTGGACCTGTTGCTGCATACTCTGCCTCCACTAAAGAGAAATGAAAGAAGACGAAAAAATATTTGGGGCCGGACAATCGGGAGCTATGAGCAGATGCAAGTGAATGAAAAGAGCACCTTTGATCATGCACAGCTTGATAATGCCTTGGACCAAGCTTCAAGTGGAAGAAAAGCTGATACCCACCTCAATAGAACAGTAGATCTATCAACTTCTGGAGTTCATGGTTCAGAAACGTATATCTTGGAGTAAAAATTGAGTCAGAAAGAAGCAGAGAATCCCGTTTTCTACTATAAAATCATTTTGAAAGCTTTTGTGATTCAAAACGACGACTCGGATTCGTAAAAATTGACGCACCAGCACTCAGGAGATCGCGATGAAAATGTATAAATTCCTCTACAGGATGCTTCCATACACAAAAAATACGAACATGACGACATTCAACTAAAATTTTAAGATGCATAACAAGAATTTTAAGTGAATTTTGTATTCATTAAATGCAGATTTAATTCAGAGACAAAATAGGATATCTAACGAAAGCTTGCATTTTCCTTCCGACATCCTTCCCAAACATTTCCCAAATATACTACAGACTGAGTAGATTCCGCATCAGGCCATATTTCTTATGATAAGGAAAGCATTGCCGGGTCGGGGTACAAAACTAAACAGAATGCGCCTGATTCTATGCAACCTGTTCTACAGGAAAATGTTACTTTCGACCTGATAATAGAAATACATATTTTTTGGAAATCTTAGAAAGTTCATCTTTTAAAAGGTGAAGTTGTAAATGAGAGAAAAAAATTTAAAAGCTGTTTTAAGAGCTTCAGAGTTTTTTTCAGAGAAAACCAGTGGCACCATCATATTTTTTGTGAAATTTTTCATCAGCAAATGTACGTCGTACTTGAATCGCAATGCCCTATGACATACATACAAGAGTTCCATTGGCCATTTCAATTTTGCCGCTTTTGAATGTGCCAATCAGATTCCGTTTAGTATGTTTTGTTTATAAATATTCGATACATCGAATAACGTACCCATTGGTCTGACTCCCCCCCCCCCCCCNGGCCATGATCACTTGCGCTCCTTATTTTTGTGTATTTGCGGGTTATCATTTATGCAATTATCACTTTTGTAACGTCAAATGCTAAGTGGACACTAATTCTTTTCATTCATTTCGTACAGCATAACGACAAATATTCTGCACACGTTAAGGTAAGTTTAATGGATTATTATCTTACGCTTCAAAGCCAGACTTCACCTCTTCCCACATGTCTGTGTACGATGGGGAAATGACTCTTCCGAGGTACATAATACAGCATTTTAAGTAATAGATCTACTTGTGACAGTAACGTTAAATATTTTCTGATGGTTTGTCATATAGACAGCAATTGATGAGATGTTCCTCTTGCCTGATGCTGCAAGTTTAATCCCAGATAAGATGGCTTGCAGGTTTCGGAAACTGACGCTGTAATCTTCGAATCATTACTTATTTATTTACTCCTGCACATGCACAAGAGTTTTTTTGACTGGAAAATGTGAGGCTCTTATTTCAGTAAAGCATCTAATTTTTTCGTCCGCCTTTTGTGAATGAGTATAACATCAATAAGGGCCGAAGTTGGAGATGAGGTTTCATGTTAGCGACCTTCGCTATTTGTAATAATGGGTGAAAAAACATGACATTTAATTATAAATGCTTTGTGGCAAATTTTTAGAATGCATAGTCTTTGAGTACGCTGCCATTTAGCTTTCAGATCCTCTTACTGTTGATAATTTTCCTTGAAAGGATGCAAAATCCGTACGCTGCAAGTAGGTATGTGTTGGTAATGCTAGGTAATCCAAGGTTAGCAGAACAATTTTCTCCATCAGTTACTTGCGATTCTTAATGCATTCGGAGGCGCATCTTCAGAAGCGTAGAATTTTACTCCTCCTTTACTGTTCTGTAATCATTCATAGTAGAGAATTTCAGAGCCGAATCAACATCTACTATATCCAATCAGAGTTTTTTGTGCATACTGCGTAATGCCCCTGAACATTGGTATTTTGCATGAAGTTACCTCTCCCTTTTGGGGACGTTCCCTTCAATTTGTAGAGATTCCTGGCTTTTAAGGCTTGGTTATCTAATTTTTTCTTAACATTAAAATAATTCAAATATTTTTTAATTTTCAGTGCATTGCAGGCGATTTGTAAACTGAGCAGTGGACTTGTGCCCCTTCGCAAGAAATTAAGTTCATCTTTTCCCATCTAGATTTTATGTCTCTATCCTTTTGAGACGAGCATATCCTCTCCAGGAATTTCCAAAGAAGATTAAGGTAAATTCAGAGTTCATAGTTTCACGTATTGAAACCATTTTAATGTATGACTAATATTGAAAGTTATTCGAGTTAACTTCCAATGGTCTCAAGAATATTTGATCAAATTTTGAAATGAAATATCTCAAAATATACTGTGAGGTTACAGAGGTTACCCTCATTGTTTAAAGTGGATATAAAATTAATCATATCGATATAATATGACCCTTTTCCACCAGACTTTTTCCTTTATTTTTGAAATACATTACTTCAAAATTTAATAAAATGTTCTTTGGATACGTACTTTCTCCTTCATGTAAAAAGAAACTGAAATGTTTAAAATAACTTTGGCAAAATTTAGAATTTAATTATTTCAGCACCTTCAGAATCTCAGTTTTTTTTGCTCGTCGTTACTTTCAGAATTTGACTAACTATTTTGTTAAATTCTTCTTTTGTAGGTTTTTATCGTCTTTGAAATTTACTTGTCAGTTACCTAGCCTGCAGAGTTTTTTTTTTTTGAAGTCGTAGTCACTGTTATTTACATCACTCTCAAGGAATTTTCCCTCAAATTCTTACGGTTTTAGAAACAGGTAATTTAAGAGTACTTTCTTCTTTATCTTAATCATTCCCTGATTCTTTGTCACCTTCTATGAATGAGGAATATAATAATTCTAAATTTGGAAAGTAGTGGAAATTTTCTCATAAGTTCTATAAAAATTTTTTTGATTTGGTATAAAATTGTTTCAATCTGCAAAATCAACTGAATTTCATCCTAGCGTTAAAATGATTTTAGTCGCAAGAAAGTGTACTCCTTCTTACTAAATGTTACTTAGCAGATTTATACACTTGGATGACAAATACATTTAATCCATGAGGAAGGGAGAAGGTTTTTTGTTCAGGACAGCAAAAATTTCCATAACGCTGAGCACTTGCTGAAATATCCTGGTCAAGTTTCCAATTAGTCTTGTGGAAAAATGCCTGATTTTTTTAGCAAATGCATAATTTCATGGTTAAATAATCAATTTGTCCCATTTTTTGTGAGTTGTAAGCAAAATAAGAATAAGTAGTATAATAGGTCATCACTTTTGAAAATTGGCTCACGGTTGCAGCAAACTATTAATCGCACAATCAGGTATTTTCTGCCATGACTTATTCAGAATTACTTCAAGTATCTTTAATGAAGGAAATATCTATAAACTGAACCTGATCAGAGAGTATTTTGTATAATTTATCAGTTTTTAGAAAGTTATGTCATGATTTGTGTTTTTCAGATCATTATGACGGAATCAAAGTTGCTAGTTCTGAGTATTATCAGATTTTTGCGTCAAGAAAGTGAAAATGAACAATTGGATGCAGACACAGTGGAGGCAATAGAAGTAGCATCACAATGTTTAGAAAATGCGTTCAACATCTCCCAACCTGATTATGATCATAACATTTTGAATTTGTTATCTTTGAAAAGTATTTTCCATGATCATGTCTCCAAGTTGGTAAGTGGGGCACAAGAATTTGTCAGGAGTATATTTCTGAATCAATGAATTTTTTGTTGTTTTTGTTGGTTTATTCATACACATGATTGCTTGCAGAAATAAGGACCCTAGCTCTCAGAAATAAGTTTTTCAGGTAGACGATTTTTCTCAAATTGGGTGTGCCAATCGGTATCCAAGTCTCGAACACAAATTGCCATCTAAATCCTCAAAATATACATAGAGAGCAGTATAATTTATTTTTATAGTAGTAGAAAGCATGAAATTGAAGGAGCTTCGAGGACAGTGAATTGAATTGGATCTGTTTCGCACAAGAAACGCAGATAACTGATTAGACCCCAGGAACTCAAAATTGCCCAAAAATAATGTATAATAAGTCTGAAATCCACTCCGTAATGCACAGTTTTTGTATAACGCATTTTTAAATTTCTCACACCTGCAAGCACTTTATTTTCGTCGCTGGTAACTAGTTGTGTTAAAAAGAAATGTATAAAAACCTAACGCACATATACCTACAAACAATCATGTAAACTGCTTCCAATATTTTTCATGTATAGTTTCAGTTGTTTCAAAGCATTTATTTTGCTTTCCTTTTATTCTTAAGGAGACAGAGTAAATGTTTCAATATTATGGAAATCATGTTGGGAAGATCAATATCAGTCTTCGAGAGCACTTAAGTCTTCAGATTAAGTTTTCTTACATCCTTTTCTGGGCAGACCAGGTTTATCAACAACGAAGAAAAATTTGTCATTTAAGAAATTTTAAAATGGACAATACAGATTATGCAAATTGTGTATTGAATAAAGAATTTCAGACAGTTTTTATGTGCTCATCGTGGTATTTGTGTGACTTCTCCTCTAAAAAATCTATTAATTTATTTTTAACAGTTGTGTTCAACAGACTCATTTGAAATTACTTTTCCTCAAAATCACATATTTAAACTAAAAAATTTGAACAGCACTTGAAATTTTTTGATGAAATTGAAAACTTACTAATATTGTCAAAACAGTACATATTAAATTGGAAACAATCAAGCTCACAAGTCAGCTGCCTATAGATATATTAAAAATGACTTTTTTTTTCCTATTTTATTATTTTTAGCCACCACAATTCTGGCCAGATGCGTCTGAATCTGAAAAAAAAGCAGCAGATGAATACAAAACTAAAGGAAATGAAATGATGCAATCTCAACGGTTTGAGGAAGCCAAAAACTTCTATAGTCGGTAAGCCTCTGTGTATGATATGATACCTTCACTGCTTGAACTGGTTTTTGAATTATGTATGTACGATTGTCAACTCAAACCTCTAAGGAAGAAACCAGTGTTTACAGTTAAAATTAAAATCAATCAGTTTAAACTTTCTGCTCACCAAAAAAACTCAAATCAAAGTAAGTCAAATTGGCTTTGGGAACAAACGCATCATTCCGCAAATAATTTGAATCAGACCCTTAAAATTCCCTGCTCCTTGTAAGCAAAGATTTTGCAAATTTTGAAACGGATGAAAAAGGTAGCTTGCTAAGAAAATTATTCCATCGCAGAACTCACCGAAATCAATGAAGTACATAGAGGCTTTGATGTTTTAACATAAAAATCCTGTTAGGAGGATCTGTTTTAAATGTGCCGAGCAAAAATAGCTGGTACAGTAGCTGCTCGATAATTCGAAGTTGGAGGGACCAGGGATTTTCTTCAAAATAACGAGTTTTTGAATTGGTGAGATTTCGAATCATAGAGCGTGGTTACGAAAAAATTTGAAGTAAAGATAGTTTCAAATTAACTCTATAATTCGAAGTGGTGGAACCGAACGCTCTATAATTCGAATCAAATAATCAGAGGATTTAATCGTAAATTCCTCAGTTCTCCGTCCGTCAGGCATTGGCATATGTATGTACATCAAAACAACCACCTTAAGACTTTGAATTATAGAGCGCCCGGCACAGATATTTCAAATTAAGTACAGAGCTTTTCACAAGCCGTTTTCCCACCGAAAAATTCGAACTACCAAGGGGGTAAAAATACACAGAATTTTTCGAATTGACGCGATTTCCCCAAGGGGATCAGCGTCGCCGTTGAACTATCAAGCTTTTTGAAGTATCGAGCAGCTACTGTATTTGTATTAGCTATTTTTGCATTTACCTCCTAAATTGTTTCTTCAGCCTGACTGTAACCTTTCTTTACAAATTCAATTTTTACCACGGGTGAATCTTTCTTCATACTTGTTTTTTTATTAATAAGTTTGAATGATTCTTTTCTTGCAGGGCTATTGAATTAGATAGGAAAAATGCTCTATTTTATGGTAACAGAGCAGCAGCAAGCTCAAAGTTAGATCAGCATTTATCTGCTATTGACGACTGTAAAATAGCCCTCTCAATCGATCCTAACTATGGAAAAGCCTACGGAAGACTAGGGTAAGTCTAGATGTCATTTTGATGTCAAAAAAAACCATTTTCATAATGTTTTCCTATAGAATGTTAACCTTAAGGTAGATTTTCAACTTTTGGGCAGTGCATTCTGAGTACGATCAATAAATTTCAAATTTTAAACATTTGGTGGATTGTTTTACAAAAATTGAAATTTCAGCATGTAGATCAATTATTAAGGAGTGTTTGTGCTGAAAATCATCTTCCGAAATCTGAGAATAGAGTCAAAAGTAGGTACTGTCTGCATTTTGCCACCAATTTCAATGCATCAAAATCGATGGTTCATGGGGGAAAAAAAGTTGCTGAAGCAACATCCTGGATAATATAAATCTGCCAGACACCTCTTAAATGTTGTTATGGACACTCTGGCTGTTAAAATAACATCCTAGCTACGTTGAACTAACAACCGTATCATTCATATCAACATTCAAGATTTTTCGCTCAGATTTTTAACATCCAGTATATTACTTCAGCAACTGTTTTTCCCCTTGTTATTTAGGAACAGTACTATTGGCATTATCTATGACTTCAAAAGATGATTTCCGGCAGGAAAATTCCTTAAATAGTAATCACAGATTGAAATTTCGATCTCCACAAAATAATCCACCAAATTTTTAAAATTTGAATTATGTCGATCTTATCCAGATTGCATTGCACAAATGCTGAAGATGCACCTTTAATTTACTCTTTTGTGACTCTGTATATGTGACACAAACAGACTGTGTGGTTATTTTTTCTAAGAAAATTTAGTACAAGAACTAGCAAGAGATTAATGCCCATACTAATCTACTTGTTAATCATTTTTTAATCTTTGCATTTTTAGGTTGGCGTACATTAAATTAAACAAGACTGAAGAAGCCCTAGAATGTTTTAGAAAAGCAATTCAGATTGAGCCCGAAAATGAGAGTTATAAAAATAATCTGAAACTAGCAGAAGAGAAAATGAAATCTCAGCCGCAATCTGACCGGGGATCTGGAGGATCAGGTGCAAACAACTTGAACAGTAGTAATCTTTTCAGTGCGGCCTCGGAAATCTTCGCTGATCCAGTAATGCGACATGCGTAAGTCCTTATCTTAGTTTTTAGCATGATCCTCTGCCTCACAGAGATGGTCATTGAAGTGGTACCCTTTATTTGCCTTAAAACCATCCGAGGATTATTGTTTGAAGAAATGCTTTATTTTTTATCTTTTATTTCAATGAATGACTGAACCTTTAACCATCTCAAACCATTTTCAGTATAATGGAGTTTTTGTGCCTGGAATCAAAATTGGGAATCCTCACACAGCTCTAGGTTGTAGACTCCTGAAATTTTCTCTTTTTCCATGGCCAAAATTTTAAGATGTTCTTTACAATGTTATTGACTTGAAATCACCTCGAAAGTATCTGAAGTTTAGAGAGTCCATTGCATTTTAAATACTGAGTAGATTTCAAGTCAAGGAAATTTCAAGTAGCACAAGTCATGAAATTTAATTAGAAACCAAAATCCTGCCATCAAATGTCTCCCAAACAATAATATTTTAAAACTGTATCTTTATAATGCGAATATTGAGTGATTGAAACCCAACAAACGATGCTGAAACCCTCAAACCCCCTAGGGAAGAAAATGAAAAAACTTATCAAAGCTTAAGCTGCTCTCTACTTACAGCATATTTTCTTGAAAAAGCTCAAACGATCCAATATTATGTAAATCATTAAGTTTCATTTCTGAGGTTCATTTATTCCATATTTTTTATGCCAATTGCATTTGTTTCAGAATGCAAGAAATTGTATCCCAAGTTTCAGCTCAAGGCTCTGTTCCAGTTAATGATCTTGTTCAAACGTAAGTTGAAATATTTGCAGAAAATGTAGGGCTTGGAAAATATTCGAAAATCTTGAATATTGTTCTGGACATTTGATTCGAACTCGAACCTCCTAACCTCAAATTTTCCAACTGTATGACCAAACGGTTTTAAGTTCGAATTTTTCTGTAAGACATGACAAGGGCACTTATTATTCTAGATCGCGGAATAAATTTTTGAGTGAAATTGTGGAAGCCCTTGCCTATTTTACGGAAGCGAGAGTATGCAAAAATGTGGAAGCCTCCCAGATTTTGTGGAAGCTTTTTTTTCTCTTTCTCTCTCTCTCCTCACTTCGAATCTCATATTTATCTTTACCAAAACATCTTGGAAATGTTCCATCAAAATATTCGGGATCAGTTTCCACAATTTTTACAAAATTACTGGGGAAGGATTCTAACATTTTTTTACCAAAATATTGTGGAAGGGTTTCTGCAATTATTACGAAAATTCTATGAAAGGTCTCCACAGTTTGCACCAAAATATTTTGGAAGGTTTTCCAAAATTTACCACGAAGTGTGGAAAACAGGAGAAGCAGGCCTTCCAGGGTGCACTACAAAGGCTGCCTAAGAGTTTTTCACGGAACATAGAAGAAGGCTTTTTTTAATTTCTTACAGACGATTGTAGGAGGCTTTCTGGAATAATATTTGACTGAATAATTGTGAAGGGCTCTCTACAATTTTTTCCTCAAAGGATACCGGGTTTTCAAACATTTTCTGGTTATGCTAATTTCCAGATTAGTCTTTTATTTTTGCCAATTAGTTTTTTAACTGCAGCTATAGGAATAGTTGCGCAAATTCGTCTTTACGTGTTGAAGGATTGGGACCTACGTTATAAAAGTGTTACAAGGGGAGAGGGGAGGTCAAAAATGCGGTAAATGTGTGTTATGTATCCAACTAACAACTGATTTAAAAAAAAATAGGTCATCACTTTCTGTGGAAGGGGTCAAGGAATTGTGAAAGTCTATCTTTGATTTTTTTGTGAAAAGGGTAAAATTTTCTGCGCAGAAATGTGAAAGGCTAGAAGAATATGCACCCCTGAGACATGGAACATTTTGAGAGATAGTTTATAGGATTGCATGTATTAGCAACAGTGAGACTATGATGACTTGCCTCAAGTAAAGAGTAGTGTATTCTGTATTCTTCCAATCGTAGGGTCAGGTGATTGAAGATCCGAATCGAAAGAAATAAGGAGCTTCCCTTGTTTCTTGTCCGCTGTTGAGCACTGGCGCGAAGGCCCGTGGTCCATACATTGTTATCGGACCCTCTGTTACAGGGCACTTAGGGGGCAAAAACCATGTGACAAACTCATGAACAGCATTTCATGGCCCCATTTAATTACAAATTTGCTTAATATTTGAAGGGAAAATACGAAGTGTGGGTCACAAGAAATAAGTTGGCAAAACAATGCAGGCCCATCTCAAAACTCATTTACCTGTTAAAGACCCTCTTTCTAACGAATGCTCCAATTATTTTTTTGACATCTACAGCAACTGTCTGTCACTTATCAAAGATGCAGCCAACCGAATACATTTACCTTTAAAATCGCCCAAAAATATACCACTAGCACAAGAATGCAGCGTATCTGAATATGCTAAAATCTTTGCATCAATGTATAATTTATATCAAGCAATTTCAAATTTTCTGTGTTCAGGGGAACTTCATTTCAGTTTCCAGTTCTTAGGTTTACCATCAGGAAGGTATAAAGAGATCTAATGTAAAAGTACAACAAGCTTGCAAGTTTAATAAATCCTCCTCAATGTACAATTTAAAGTTTATGATAAGATGACTTACCTTATCCTCTCGATTTTTTGTTGGTATTTCATATGATGATTATTTTGGGGCCCATGGCTCTATCTTCAGGCGTATAGAACTTCTCATGTTACTCATCTCCAGGTTTAAAGTGTAAAGTTTCAGGGCTGAAGCAAATGTGCTTATTTAGAAAATAAAAAGAAAGAAATACTTTAAACCAACTGAAATGTTAAGTGAAAAACATTGCTAATAGCTCTCAATACTGTCTGTTCAACCAGGTCGCTAGCAAACAAGGAGAATCCTCTAGTAATTGACAATTTTTGTTCATCAAGGTATCAGCTTTTTTTTTTACATTTTATCTAGTACCCTGTCAAATAGGTAACCTTCTTGGTGCTCTTTCATTTTCAGAGGCGGTGTGCTGCTCGATCGATTAAGGAACGTCTCGGGCGTGGATCAGTCGGCTATCGAAAATTTATTCGCATTTGCTTCAGATGGCAACAATCCTTTTCAATTCCTAGGCGCAGCCCAGGCTCGAACTGGCCAAAGTAATAGCCAGGGTAACCGAAACAATCAGAACCCGAATAATTCAAATCAAAACTCCGATTCACATCCTCATTCAAATTAATCAGGAGTGCCACGACTTCACAAATTCAATTCAGCTTCCCGCAGAAGCTCATATTGAGGATTCCGATACACCTTAGCAATTTAGTAACTACGTTTTTCAAGCCTCAATATCATATTATCGCACTTGGCAGTTCCTATTTTTGTACCAGTTTCATGCTCGCTCAGTCTAGTAAATACGCTTGCAACTTGTAGGACTGTTACTCTCGCATGCAATTCCATATTTTAAGAGCTTTTGAATGTAGCTGCAGACTACCTGAAACAACGTCTGTACTGTGTCAGAGTTGGATACAGTGAGGTTATATGTTTTTGTGATCTTGAATCTCTTCAAAAATGTAAAAAATTGATGAGCGGAGATTTCTTTAAGAAGGTAAATAAGCGCAATACAAGAAAATCTGGTCACATCAGAATAGCCGGTAGTTTTATCTGAAATATTAGGCAGTACTGATTGTGAGTTTCAAGGAGCTTTTGAGATTTCTCTCTGTTTTGTTTTATCATCGTCGAATCAGTAACTGACTTTATTAAGGTTAATCGTATTTCACTCCAAGCTATTTTATTGTTTTATCAAAGTGAATTAGCCTCACAAAGCTTCACTCCATTATTTCTGAGAGTGAATGGGTGAATTGCATGTTTAAACGTTTGTATTCGTAGATTGATGCTTGCAGGCTAGAGAATGAGAAAAAAGTTCGTCTGAATGTTGAGGAGTCCCCCCAAAGCTAACTATTTTTGGGGGAATGCAGGATTTCATTAATGCTTGGATCAAACAAAACCTTGTTGAGAGGAAACCTTTTGAAAAATCTGTAAGAATCAACTGTAAAAAGAGGTATGGTGCCATGATTAAACAACAATCTAATTCAAAGATAATTATTTACTTGAATTTGTTTCCATTTTAGTGGAGAACATTAATACCTTTTAGAATTTTAATTGTACACATGACACCAAAAAGTAGTTGTCTTTTAAAAATGTAATATTTGTAATTGCCTCATGTATTAGGATTTTCCTCTTTTTTTTCGACATGACTATTTTAACTATAATATAAAATAAACGCATCAGTTTCACAAAAAGTCAAAATGGCTTTTTTTTTAAATTATTTTCCAACAGACACCATCGCAATGGACCACCAGCCAAAGTATGAATTTCAGCAATCTGATTCGTCTCTTTTCTTCAAAATTTCTTATACAGTACGATTAGTGCAAAGAAATTTATTGAAACTCACTTTGAATCAGGATATTAACGTTTTTATTCAGCATCGGTCACATAAAATTTGAATTTCCTGCTCACAAGAAAAAAGCCTAGAGATGCACTGCCATAAGCAAATTTTCGTTTGTCAACTGTCAGCAAAATCCGTAAACAGTTGTCCAGTGGATTAACGAAGTTTGGTATTTTCATTAACTAATCAGAGCCCAGTGGCCTGTTCACAGGACTGTTGATAGGTTTCTTCTATAACCAGAGACGTCAACATGTGCGATCATGTGGTCTGGAGCACGTTTACGAAACTGTGAACTGTTGGCAAAAATTAAATTACACTTAATTATGGGCGATTCGGCAGGAAAGGCTAGGCCACGCCCATTTAATCACAACCGGAGAACGAAAATTTGTTTTGATGACGTATTTCGTAAACGAACAAAAATTAGCTTAATGGTTTCGGCAGGCTCCTTAACGAGCAGTGTTCCCTCCCCACTATTTGTCATTCAAAGTGTAAATAGCATGCAATGGCTGAGCCGAAGCACCAGTATTGAGGTCATATTTTTGAACTGGGAAAACATGTACCTCAGTTTGTAACATTCCTAATTTTCTGTCATTCTTTAAATTCCTAAATTCTTCAAATTCTCCAAGTAGAAACTCATTCAAGTGATCAGGTGATGACTGTTCTGATTTTTCTTCTTGCTTGTCCAATAGATGAAACAGAAATGAAAACTTTAAGATTCCATAATCAAGATTCCGGCTCCCGAGCCTCATCATCAAACTGTTATTTTTGTTGTAGAAAAATTATTTTGTAGAAGAACACAATTTTATCTACGAAGGGATTTTTAAAATCATGCATAATATTATCCACTTATTTTATTATGGTGTAACGATAGTCTTTTAGAATCTGCTCTCCAAAAGTTTGCAAAATACCAAAGTTAAACAAAATTTATTTTTCTTTTTTAATCAACACTGTGGGGAATTTTGAGTTTCTTTTCAAAAAATTCATTACGATAGGTAATAATTTATTTGAAAAACTTCAATATTCTTATGGTAAGATTTTCAATCATTTTAGCTGAGCAAGCTAGAAGAGTTTAGAAATTTTCTCTGATACACCAATGGCAGAGTGCGAAGACTTATCTACATATATTAAAAAGGAAGCACAGAAAAAAGTTTGGACAGAATAACAACCAAAAAATTATAGTTTTCAACCATAGTAATGAATTAATCATGCAATTTTTAATACAAAAAACAAACAATTAAAATGAAAAACCCAACAGCTAGGTGACTGACATTTCGAAAATACTTTTAATTAAAATTTGACAGTTCCATGACATGTATTTTAAACAGGAATCGAAACTTAATCAACGCCTGAAAATTCCTTCAGAGTTGTAACGCCTTGAACATCTAACAGAGCGCTTCTCTGGTTGCATTATTCAATGTCTTGTTGTTAGGGCTTGTAGTAAGTAGGACACATATTTTAAGCTTTTAATTTAAACATAAAAACAAAAATAACAACGATTGTGGGCACAAAAATATTTTAACAGTATAATTTACCGTCAGAACTAAATTTGAAATAAAATCATCAACAAGATAACAGAAAAAGCACTTCACTTATTCAAAATTGTAAAAAATATATTTTAATTTTTTATAACAAGTATAAATGGACTAGACATAGTGCAAACAAGCTTTGAGTGCATTTGAATATTCAGACACAAAATAAACTGCACAAGAAAATAATGCAAGTCATAAATTTTAACGTAAAGTGTTCTTTAAAAGGAAAAGTATTTTCAAGAAGGTTGGATCAAAGTAGATGATCTGGGAATATAAAAATTTAAGAACTGGCGCTTTAATTAAATTACAACCATACATTTAGATCAACTGACCTTTCCAGTGATGATCTAAAATTATGGTAAAACTTTGGGGATATTAACATGAAACAGAATGATTAACTTCAAGAGCTTCGGTATGAAGCATCAAAATGAATGCGATTAATGTTTGGAAGATAACAAATACAGCCGAAAGTATTTCGATAAGGTACAATTGTAAGAAGAGAGCAATTAGCGCTGCCTATCGGCTGAGCGCTTAAAAAACAAATACCTGATCAGATCAAGAATAGGAATGTTGATGGACAGCGATTGATTTTGTGATAGAATGTAGGTACGGCTAGTAATTCATAACAGTGGGAACTTAGGCATTCAATTTAAATCCTCATAACAGGAAATGCCACTTTTTATTTTTTTTCCACTTAAGACTAAATTCAAAATCTTGCATAAGAGACTCATATGATATCATTGATTTCTTACTGTTTGTTTCATTAAGAAGTGTGACATCAGTTTGAAGTCAGAATCACTTGCTGAATATGGGCAGCTGAATGTGGCAATCATCAGTCTGTTGTAGAGTGGTGCTCTGAATATTGCGCATCGTGCAATGATGAGGAGTGCAATGATGATTTCTCTGAACTAATCGAATAAGTTTAATACAAATGTGTATGAAAAATACCTAATTACGAAAATTTAGCTGCTGAGCAACGACATATAGCTCCCATATTCAGCTGCCAAATACAGCGTCTGATTCCAGCATAACGTCTATTGAACACTCTGACGTCATATTGACATCAGCGTCTGGTCAGTGGGATGTAAGACTGACTTTACACTGAATTGTTTCATAAAGAAGTGTGTTTTCCAACTTTTAGGATCATTATGACTATTACTAGGGTTTTAATAACAGACATCTCTTGCATAAATTAAAGGAATAAATAATAAAGAAACTATAAAAAGTAAAAGCCACATTATTTACAAAGAATACCCAAAAAAAAACCAGTGTTAAAGTGAAGGAACAACAAAATTAGAAAACGATCAGTCCAATTTAAACGAAAAGAATAATTTTCGGACATAAGTAACAAACAAAAAAACAAACAAACAGAACAAGGAGACATAAAATTATGATTGATTCCTTTGGCTGTCCAACAAAGGTAAAGCAGCATAACGCCAGTGGAAACCTCATGTGCATCCAAGGATGTTGTTGGAGCAGTTAAGTTCCAAAAACTCTGGCGCTTTTCTAAAAGAAAAAAGGTCTGAATCTCAGTTACTAATTATCATCTTCACAATTCTGTCACTTTCTGAATTCTCTGTGTGCCTCTGTATGGTTCGCCAGCAGAGCCATCCTTTCCA